TACATGATGCCATGTTGAAAGACCAGCACTTGGTTACCTCTTGTTTCTAAAGCATAGTTTAAGGTACTCGTTAATCTGCAAATAGCTTAGTACAGTGGTACCTCGGGTTACGAACCGGATCCGCGGCCGTTTTCCCTCCCGTAACACGGTCCGCAGCCATTTTTCCGCCCCTGACACGTGGCGGCCATTTTCCGCCCCTGACACGTCCGCAGCCATTTTTCCGCCCCGACACGTGGTCCGCGGCCATTTTTCCGCCCCGACACGTGGTCCGCGGCCATTTTTCCGCCCCGACACGTGGTCCGTGGCCATTTTTCCGCCCCTGACATGTGGTCCGTGGCCATTTTTCTGCCCCTGACATGTGGTCCATGGCCATTTTCTGCCCCTGACACGTGGTTGTAGGGAGGGGGACTCTCCCTCCAAGCAATAGCTGCCTCCCTATCCTCCATGCCAGAACAGATTAACGGTAATTACCTTATGGTAATTGAATATTGAACCTTATGGGGAAATTTGCTTCGGGTTGCGACCAATTCGGGGTGCGACCAGAGTCATGGAATGAATTAAGTTCGTAAACCGAGGTTCCACTGTATTTATTATCTGAGGGACACTCTCTCTTATTATGAACTTGTATAGACTAACGATTTGCAAAGAAAGTGATTCTGAATATGCTTCCTTGTTGCTCACGCAGGAAACAATTTTTTCCTGTGTCATTCCCAGGTTAGGGAATGGACTCACTTGGGAGTTGCATTTAGCCCATTATCTTTACCTTTAGAAGAGCAACAAAGTCTCATCACTTTTCCCAGGAATTTGCACTGTCCTATTAGGAGGATGAATACCGACTTTCTCACAACGTTCTTTGGTTTCTGACTGCATTGTAAGGGATATGAGATTAACATTCTGGTAGAGTAGAAGTGACCCATGACCACTCTTACCTTAGTGGTCCTCAAAGCTATTAAAACATATACAGAAGTTCCAGATAGATTCACATGTCTTCTCCAAAGGTTCAAGGAATATCGTTGTGGGGTAGTCTTGTCCTCATATTCTCCAACTCCCACACTTTCTGTATATGTGAGCAAAGATTCTTCTTGTGTAGTACAGGAAGGAATTCTGATTTGTAAATGTCTGTGAAAGTACATCGTTTCATTCATTCACACATACACACACACACACACATATATATCACACACACATACACACACAGAAAAACAATTTATAAAGTAAGAGCAAATATCTGGCTTGATCTATATTCTCATCTCTTGAGTACCTGGATAAGGGGACTGAATTTCTTGTTTCATAAATAAGAATTATAGGAACAATAGGAATAAAAGAAGAAAAAAGTATTTTACTTACTAAAAATAACAAGTAAGCTTATAAATTTTATACCTTCCATACCAGATTACACTATCTTTTCATCAGACAAGATAACCAGAGGGTTAGCTATTGAGTTGGAAAGGAACCATTTGCTTTGTGAGTGTAGGTCAAATAAGCATCTTACTTCTTAGAGAACTGAAATGGCAGGAAAAGAAAAGCCTTGAATATTGATGTGTCGTAAAATTATCCTCACCTCATGAGTAGGAACACAGATTACCAGCTCAGCTGAGTTTTTGTTTTCAAATTTTGTAATTTTATTTATGCAGCCCTGTAAAATAAAGGTAGTTACACATCACATTGTTTTTCGTGTTTCTGTGCATCACACATTCAGATCTGCCCCATGAAAACATTCCTACATTTTCAAAAGCTAAGTTTCCAGTGGGACACACTCTCTACTTCACATTCCCACACTGAGAATAGCATGAAATACCTTAATTTGTCTTTTACTGCCACCGTAACAATTTGAAGCATTTTGTGTTTATTGTTGAAGAATTCTTCTTGGCCTATGGCCTCAAGATCATTCTTTCAAAAATGCACTGATTGTGTGAATAGTCTCCCTGCAACAGAGGAACACTCTGTGTCTCTTTTGTTCAGGCAAGGGCCTTCAGGTTGAGACTTGTATTTATTGTCAGAATGACATGCCATCAGCACCTGCAAGCTTGAGGTTCACTTTGGGAGCAGGCACTTCACACTAATACATCATTGCTTCTCACTCTCATTTCTTAAGCCAGTCTTTTAAAAGCCTTTGTTTGGCTTCTGTTCTGGACCATTTTTTCATTACAGCTAAGGCTACTGCACTTCAAAAGGATGTAGCATCTTCTCCATTTGAAGTAGTCATGGCCTGCTCAGTGCAGATAAAGTATGTTACTGCTAATGACCACAGATTCCAAACCTCCCTTATCACTGGGTACATCTGCTGCGATCTTAAGCTTGAAAATATGAAAATCTAAACATTTATTACGCTAATTACTGGAAACATCTGACGTCTATTATCAGTATCAATCTTTATCCATACTCTCTGGCTTTTGTTACCCTATCCAATATCCTTTCTATTATAAATGCAAGCTCAAAATCTGAAGATGAACATTGGGATCCTTTGTATTTTTAGTCCCACTATCTTTGTTACATGGAGTTGCTGATATCTAATGAGTTTGGTATGCCTCTTTGCTTCTTATACCTTGTGTTTTGGCCTTACAAAGAGTGGCTTGTTATTATTGTGTTATTATCATGCCAAATCTATCAAACTACCCTGTAGTCATAAATTTGGTCCAAATTGGCATTTGGTCCCTGAAAAATGGCATTGGAAAGGACAAATGAGTGAGAAGTCCAGGAACAAACAAAAGTCAATTCCAGAGACCTGTCCCTGGACCACAGACTTAGCTCCTCTCTGCTGGATCTTAACTGCCACAGTAGGCAAGGATCTGGGAAATAGGTAGATGGTCTAACTCCAACAAGTGTCTTGTCTTCCTCAGATTGCAATAACTAGTAGTTTAGCATGTTTACTTCAGTAATTTTATTTGGTACTTGCTTATAGCTAAGCACAGTACAAACAAAACAAAAATCACAACACAGTGTCAACCAGTATCAACAGTGTAACAGTAAAACAATCAATTTAAAAACGTTATCTAATTCCAGCACCACCATAATTTTAACAGATATTGAGTACTGGCATTGGAAAGTTATTCCAACTTCATAAAAGGTCCTGAAAAGAGAAGCATTTAAAGGTCTTTTTAAATCTTAGATTCCAAACATAGTTAACTGGGAAGTTGATTCTAAACAATAGGAGCTAAGTGGGGAAAAGCTTTAAAACACTAGGTTGCTATTCTGACATGAGAAAAAACTTAGGTATCTTAATTGTATGAGCTAAGCATAAATGGAACAGGAATCAAGTTACTCAAATTACTGGGTTCCTTTAAGCATTACTTGGAAGATTAATACTGGCAGTTTGAACTGTAACGCTCCCAAAGCCCTACCCAGTGTAAAGATTGATGGAAAGAAGAAATGAAGGTGAAGAGGGGAATAGGAAGAGCTTCAGGACCTAATGGATCATACCCTTCTGAACTTGGACCAGAGGGCATAGAGTACCAGCAGGAAAGCCTCCCCAAAACTATACCAAAGCATGAACTAGCTGCTTAGGTGTCTCAATATTAATAAATGAATGAACTTTCCAAATATTCAGAAGGCATGAATTACAAGTTCTTATGGTCATTGAAAGACTTTAAAAAATGTTCTTATAAGAACGCCTAAATCTCTGCAGCAGATGCTGGCTGCTGATAATCCTAGAAAATAAAAGAGACAGGAAGAGGAAAGAAAGAATGACAGTCAGGATGAAAGACAATAAGTTTGTCCAAACTGATTCCATAGACAGTGACCAAACTACATAAACTCATCAGGATTTGCAACAATTGTGTTATGTAATTTGGAGCAGCTAAAAGCAACTCTACTTTCAAAATGCATCACAAGCTTATCATGGCAGACTATTGACTGGACCATGTCTACCTCAGAGCTAGCCATCAGCAGCCCAGCTACCACCTGAGGAGGTTCTACTGAGCAGTTCATCAAAGATACAGCAGCAGTTAAGAAATAAGCCCTCTTCGCTAATACCACCACGTGATCATGCCCTGTGCTTAGTCAAATTCACAGTGAGATTAGCAACCCCTGTGCTTTAGCCATCTGTCATTTCACCTGAAGTCTTCCCATAAACCAAGGGACATCAAGGCTCCTATTAGGAGAAGAGGTCTCCATGACCCATCTCACTCCACAGTGAGACTTGAGCTTTAACAGAATCTCCAGTCATTATTAAAAGATTAATCACTGCTGTAATGGAATATATATATATATATATATACACACACACACACACACATATACACACACATACACACACACACACACACACATATACACACATACATACACACACTTCAGCTAATGAACTATTTATATGTGCACCATTAGAGAATGTCTAAAACTAAGCAAATTCATGTCTGCTAGGTGATATGATTTGTCTGACATTAGTAACCCTACTTTTTACTAGCTCAGTGTTTTGTTTTGTGTTTGCATTTTTTGTGGTCTACTAACGTTGAAGAGCTTTGGTGTTCCGTGAGAATGTTGACTAGCAGCAGTTTCTAAAGCCTGCTGAAATAATGGATAGTGTAATGTCAGTGCCAAGATAACAAAAGGATAGATACTCAAATAATGATTTTGGCTTGTTTCCAGAATGATGGCCATTTGTGTAGTTTTCACAATTTTGGGATGAATTATTTGCTGTTCAGCTTTGTAATATTTAGTATTCTGGAAACACTTTTCAGCATAGTGTTATATAAGGCTAACATACAGTTATCTGTTGGAACACTTATTAGAATAGAAAGCATTACACATGGAGTCAGATTAGTATAATATTTAAACTTGATAGATATCTGCTGTCAAAACAACTATTCAAAATAAATATGTATTTAAAAGCTTAAAGTACAGAAATGCTTAATGAACTAAAATTTATGAAAAGATCCATTCTGTTGATAGGACTTAAAGAAATGTATGTTGATGCTAAGTAGGATTCCAAGGTATATTTCATTTTTCTTATTTGCATTTCTCCTTGGAAATGCAAGATGCGGTATATCTTAAGCTTTTTTAACTTATGTGTCACAAATTCAACTGCCTGGAAAACAGCCATAAATAAATAACATGCAACAAAACATAACATTTATGTTCTTTTATAACTGGAAAGGAAAAGGAAACTAAACAAAACTATTTGTCTGTAACATTCACACAGAGAAATCAGAGTGAAGAGATTTCTGAGGGAGATCATTCTAGATTGTCTCTGTAAATCCTGGAATATACAGTACAGTATGGTCTCTCTCTGTAATCCTGACATTAAATGAGCTTTCCATGCCAAAATTAATTCTTTCCTAGATGCATATCCAACAACAAAAAAAGTAATCCTATACTGCTTTTCAGTGACATCAAAGAGGTAACTGAAAATGACTATCTACATTATGTGTGCCCATTAATGGTGTCTTTCACTGCAGCAGTATAGAAATATGATAGGTCAATCAATCAATAAAGTTGTATGAATTAGTTGGTGCTTTGTATATTTAGTCAACTGTACAAATTTTGTATATTGCATATTGCTTTATGCAATATGTTTTGCATATTGTTTTGCATATTGTTTAGCGGCTTTTACAGAAGAATAGCATACAATTATAAATAAGATAAAAATTGAAAGTAAAACAACTTATCCTATTACAGTGGAATGGCTTGTACTGGAAGGGGCAATGGCAGCCCCAGTACTTCAAATTTCCTTTGCTCTTCATAGCTCTTCTGTCCCTTGCAGGTTAGGCTGTACTACCCAACCTCTATAGACCTATAAATATGATGGTCCTGGGGTCTCCACTCAGCATTTGGTGTCATGTGAACAGCATCAAATCACTGTTGCTGCTTCAGTAAATCTCTGATGGATCCCAGTGATATTCATGCTTCCCCTTTCCATGTACCTACTTCAGAAGCCTGCTTATTTTCTCCATATTTTGAACTACTACTTTTTCTATAGTTTAACTTCTACTTTCAGATCTCCTTGGTGGCAAATGCCTGAAATTTTGAACATTTTTTTTTTCTTTTATCTCCTCCAGGTGCATTTACAATAGGGATTTTATAATCATCTATTAGAAGTCTTTACTGAGTTCTGCTTTATGAATTAAATGCTGCTGACGTCCTATCAAATTCTTGTGTTCTAGATTTAGCTTGCATAAATATTTAATGTATAAAAACTGAAAACGGATATTAATGAGGCAATATGTGAAACTTGTTCAGAAATATTAATTCCATACATTTTCAAATGTTATGTGTTGATTTGAAATGTTGACAGGTAAATAATATAAAGGATCTATTTCACTCAAATATGATTTTGCTTAGAGCATATTATATACTTGATTATATTTATATTCTGCTTTATGTCCATGCAACTGAAGGCAGCATACATTTTTCTTTCCCCCTCCAATTTTAATTGTATCAACCTACCAACCTTCTGTAAAGCAGGAAAGGAGTGAAGACCCAGATATTCCGCAGGGACTAGGTCCAGGATATTAATGGGGCTGATGTGGTGTGTTTAATATAAGAATATTAAAAGTAAGAAGGATATAAAGTGGTGTTCATAAATCACAGAAAGCATATATTATTGTTAATAGGATTTTGGAAGAGAAATAACGTTTAAGGATATTAATGTAATGCTTAAATCTATATATTGCTAAAACTTTTGTGTCTGTAACCTTCAGCTGGGCAAAACGGTACATCATAGGGCAACAATTTTTGAACCAAGGTACCTCAAATGAGCTAACTTACAGAATTATCCAAAATCCAGGACCCATTACTCCTGTGGGATTCAAATTTGGGGAATTTGTGGCTGTTTCAGCATTTCTGTGCTGCTGCACTGCCATGGTCAGCCCAGGTCATGTGATCTTCATGGGCGTATCCCCGACCTCTTTCCCACCTCCCTTTGTCCCCTGCGCCCAGTCAGCTGGCAGCAAGGCCCAACAGGCAAGTGGCAATTGGTTGCTTTGAAAACGAGGCAGAAATTTGAAATCTCTTTAATGGCTGTGGGCGTTGAGGGAAAGATGAGGGAGTGACTTGGATGCCTGCTGGCGAGGTAGGTCTGGCAGGTGACCCCTCTTTCTCCCTTGAGGGAGGGGCCCTTGGAGACATGTTGGAATGGGGAGTGGGGGTACAGTTTTCCTCATGGTCTGCAGCTCTCTTTGTTCCACCTTCCCCCAGGAGAATGGCAGGCAGTTCCACTGGTCAGCTGAAGAGGAGGAGGAGGCTTCACCATTGTTCTCCTGAGGGTTGTGAAAAAATGGAGCAAGCCTATATTATATGTGGAAAGGGAGGGAGGGAGAGTTCTGATGCTCCCTGCCAGCTTACCACAAGCAAAGTCAATGGGAAGCTGGCAGCAAGTTGCTCACCCTCCCTGCTTTTTTGCCCTTGGTCATTCTGTTTTTTTGTTTAGGTAAGGAAATATCTCTGAAACGATGACTCAGTGCGTTACGGATTATTGGGTTGTCTAGTATATACTAAAGAATTGAAATTTATAAATAATGAAGAGCTTTGATCTTCCCAAATTTGGGCTCTGGCAACAACAACAAAAAAGATAATTCTGAATGTTTTAAAAGAAATTCTGTTTTCAGATGTAAAATCTTGGATTTTTCTTTTTAAATGTTAACTCTTCAGCCAGGATATGGTAAAAAAAAGTCATGGTGGCTGTGACAGTGCAATTGAAGCTCCACGTACTTTTTATGTGAGTGACAATTTTGACTATATCCTGTGAACTTCCCAGTCTTCAGCCTTTGAATTAGCCATTTATTGACAACAGAGACTGATCAATGTGACATTTAATATGATGTTCAAAAATGAAAACGTTTTTCATATTAATCCAATATTTTGATTTACGGCTTACTGTTTGGAGAGTTTCTTTCTACTTATGTATTCTATTATACTTGTTTCCATTTGTCTTTTTATTTCCCTTTCTGTATATTATTTTTAAAAAGGAATGAAAAGTGTGAAAAGAAAGAAACAGACAATACACAGAAAATAAAAGAGATACACTGGTGGACCCTGTGAAATAGAAAGCTACATTTCTGTAAGTAAGTGAAGTGTTTTGTTGGCATACCTCCAAATAGAAGCAACTTGTTTTCTGTAGGCATTCTTGATATCATGTTATTGTTTAACATAGCTTTAATTGTTTATAGACTCGTCTTTTGAGTAAATGAGACAGAATATGATACTATTTTGCCTAAACTATGACACTTGGCAACAGTAAAACCCATAAGAAATTCAATTTCACTCTCAGAAATGGTCCTAAAAGTTCTGTCTTCTTTTTGAAGAGAACTCAACATTTCTGTCTCTACTGAGAAAGGAGCTGGGGACCAACTCCCTGATCAAGAGCCATCTCTCATGTGGAATCTGTATTCTGTCTGAGACATGGAAATGCATATTCTTTATCTGAGCTGCAGACACAGCACTACAGACACACATAAGAAGGAAAATTAACTTAGATTTCATTCTGAGAAGGCTCCTTGCTGTTTTGCCACAACGTAGCAAATGACTTCATTAGTTTCAAATTGCTATGAGAATTTCTACATAAGATCGGTGTGAAACCTTTGTCTATGTAAGAAGTAAAATATGAGAATTGCATTTGGAGTCCCTGAATTTTACATGTTATATTCCATATACTGATTTCTGCTGAATTTTTTGACAGGTAAAGCAACCATAATGTAGAATCATAGTAATCTGTAATTCGAGATAATCACAGTATTCACTTCTCATTTTCTGTTTGGCATTGATTCCTTTCTAGGTTGTACAATTTCATACAAAATTAATATAAATATTCCAGAAATCTTAAAGAACAGAAAGTTATAGTAATAACTCCAGTGTGAGTTTCCTGGTCCATCTTTGAATAAGAATGGATAGTCACAGCTTCACCTCTGGAAAAAGAATACATTTGATTCTTTTTTTATGCCAAATTATTACTGCATTGGACGTACCTCTTGACTGTAAGTACTAAAAATTCACAGCCTAAGGAAATATACTGATTGAATAGATTGTTGGAGACAAATATCTTGATAACCTAAAACAAGCCTATATAACAATACCACATTGCAAAGAATATGTATGTGTATGTACATACTCAAACACACTTTTTCACTCCCTTTAATTGCAGGAAGTTCTGCTGCATTGTAAAAGTTTGTTTTCCTTTTTTCCCAATGTTCCATTAATCGTTACATTGTTGTATATTTGCTATTTGAGCGTGTAGAATATATTCAAAATAAATGATTATCTTAGCAATCATAACCTGTTTAGTGACTTAGCAATGCAAGAAAGTATATTTAACAAAATACAATTGAAAATATTTGTTTCATATATTTTAACTGATATATTGGAAGGCAGTAATTACTGAGATTAGAAAAGAAGGCTATAGTCTAAAAATAAGCAATAATATACATCCATTAGAGCAAAAACAGTCATATAGAAACCATTAAAAACTACTATGGTTTTACATGCAGTTCACATAATTATTTGAAATATTTGTAACCCACTGTTCTATTAAAAAGGCTATCAGGCAATTTTTGCTGAAGTTTATATTTTTATCACCTTAGCAAGTATGGCTAATTTATTTATCAAGCCCCAAATTATAATTTCTATTGTAACATGAGCTAATTGTTCTCACTAAAATATTAACGAGGGATTCTTGTTTTCCAATAGATGGTAATGAAACAGCATAATTAACAACAGGGCATTCCGTCTTGTTTACTTGTGCTTCCATTTTTTTCCTATATAACAGATTGATTTTTGCTTGCAATGGACAGGTTATGCCATCCATTAATTCCATGTCCATATCAACCAAGGGCATTTGTATCAGTACTAATTATTCCATATAGGTTAGGAACAGCGTTCATAATTGACAATGCAACATTAGACAAGTGTTCCAAATATTTTGTGTGAGAAACTATGCTGATTCTTTGCCAATTAATTGACTTCAGTATCTGAGCTACTTTAGTGGCTGTTGTCAGAAAAGGTCTATAATATGGATGCTTGTACTCTATATCTTCTCTTTCTAAGATTTCATTAGTTTTGTCTTACTAACAAATCATTTTCTTTAATTCATGATTACAATTCACTTGCTGAATCTGATACGTGGAAAAAGCAAAACTTCTTGAAGAATGTAAGTTTTCTTCCCACAAGCCTGCACAAAAATAAATTATATGTGTGACTTAATAAATTTTTTAAATAATTAAGTTAATTTTTAAGTGTGGAAACTATTTTTATTGTGTTTGCTGTTGTTAATATTCTGTACAGATGATAACTTAGAGAAACTATACTCAAGAACAATTTTGGCATGAATTTAAATATTGTTTAAATATTTATTTTTAATATTTGAAGGACATGTTCCTATCCATTTAGAAACTCATAGAGTCTTTAAAAGTCATGCAAAAATAATTTTAAAAGCAAGTTGGATTGATACACTAGTGGATTTAGTGCACATTATTTAAGGACTCAAGAGAAGTGATTGCAATTTGGAAAATGAAACCAAGAGGCATTTTCCCTATTCAAAATGTCTCTTGTACATTAAATTGAATAAGGTCTAATATTATAGCATCAAGGAGAAGATGTTGCTGATGTTCCAGATAAATATTCATCTGTACACAAAGTGTGTGTTTGCTCAAGCATTTTTCCTTTTGCTGTTTTGATTTACAGGCATGTACAATTAGAATTTTGCTTTTCCTAAACTCATATAAATGTATGGTTACCTGTTTTGAAGTGTTACAGCAGGCAAAATGGAATACTTTTTTTTTTACTTTTTACTTTCCTAAAGTGAAAAGAACTTACTACAAACAAAATATGAAATAGAGATATTTCTTAAAACAAAATATTACACATTATTATTTCTTAACCATAATTGTATGCTACACGACATTCATATGACATACATTATGAACTTTACCAGAATATCAAAGCCCATACAGCACGGCTGTATTTTAAGCAACAAGATACATGCACCATATGATAAATACTCAGCAGAAATACTGTTCTGCTGAAAAAAAGAAAAAGTTAAAGAGTTCACTTGTTAGAAATAGCTGGTTCTGTTCCTTGAGGAAAGCAAAATGTTATCCATATAACAGTAGCTCACTCAGACTAGTTCACACAGTCATCTTTGGGGTAGACCTATTGCATAAATATGACATTTGTAATCACTGACTTATTTAATTCATGGTCCAGCATGTGGTCTTATCAAAATGTTGAGGGCTTGAGTTTATTATTAGCTTTCACTTTCAACCCTTGAGCTGATAAAATGGGCCTCATCAGCCATCTCTACTGTTTCTACTCCCTGTAGGCGGGATAGAGTAAAATTGGGACAGAAAGGCAGTGAGGGAGCCTTACCCTTCCTGTGTCATCTGAGATCAATTCCAGTCTTTTTTTCCCCCAAGCTGAAGTTGGAGGAAAATACTGGCTAGCTAGCTTTTCTAAAGGTAGCTGGGATACTAATAGAAACTGTGATTAAGTATCAGACTGGGCAGGCTATAGTTTGCTGTCATCTTTTGCAAAACCAAAGAGTAAGTACCTTGCTCATAGGAATTAGTGCAAAATTTGGCCTAGCATGCCATGTGAACATGCACTTATTCTTCTAACTATTCAGCCCTTCCAATTGGCCATTGCTATTTATGCATAGGTCCTACCCTAGAAGCCAGTTGGCTGAGTCACTGGAATTTGGAGTTAAGACACTTGGAACAGTCCTGAGGGGGTATGAACTATTTAAGAACAAATTGAGTCAACCCCCTTGCGAGGAAGGTCAAAATGGAAAGATACTAGCCTGACATCTGATAATAAACTGTGTTCCCTTTGTGTTGGGAACACTGGTGAACGTTCAGTGTATCTTCTGCAAGTATAATGTTTGTATATGCTGATGTTCTCTGTAAAATAACAGTGGGGCCAAGGCTAGATATAATCTTGAGCCAAGTTCTTTTTGTGACTTATTTCTTCCATTTCAGAATATACAAAATGGCATTAAGTTATTGCCTAACAAGGCAAATAATTTTTGATTTTGGTTTATAAGAGCAACTGTTTATAATACTGTGTGCTGGAATGTTGGCGATATAAACTGGCAGCAGGTAGCTTAGCCAAATTGCCTAAAATTACTTATGTAGAAAAATGTGTTTTACATGCATAATTGCAGTTCTACAGTCATGTAATGGTAATATTATTATTTGTTTGAGAGGAGCTTATTCCATTGTGGTTTTGAGTATGATTGTAGTACATTTAATGTTTGTAATTAACATTACTATTTTATAGACAACCAGTTTAGAGTGATGGTTAAGTTGTAGGAATAGGACTGAGGAGACCCAGGTTCAAGTCCATCTTCAGCCATGGAAGCATATTTGGTGACATTGGCCCAGTCACTTTCCCTCAGACAACTCACATCACAGGGTTGTTCTTGTGGGGATAATTGGGGGAGGAATTGGAATTTAAAGAGGAATTTAAAACCAATAAATAAAAATGTATTTTTCCCCTTTTATCTTTGTTCATATTTTCTAAAAGTGTCACAGCCTCCAACAATAACACAGCAGTCTCCAAAAGATTATATTATTGACCCAAGGGAGAATATTGTAATACAGTGTGAAGCAAAAGGAAAACCTTCTCCTACGTAAGTCCTAGATTTTTATGCATTCATTGTCTGTTTATAATATAGTGTGAAGCAAAAGGGAAACATTATCCTTAAATAACCACTGGATTGATTGTTTGGTATAGATATGTTCATTGTCTTTTTATAATACAATCCAATGTATGCCTGAAGGAGACTCATTTGGATAATAAGGTTTCCTCTCATCCCTATAACTGCAGTCTTAATGTCTAAATCTTATGAAGTTGACCCAATGATTTACAGATAGAAAAGTAAATTTGATTCCAGATCAAAATATACTGTGTAAATGTTTCTGTAGTGTCTTTTAAATGGCTCTGTCAGGATTTTGCCTCTGAAATTATTATTTCATTTTGACATTATCTCCTTGGAAAGCATTTCCTACATTGCACTTTGCCTAGTCCACAAAGAGCTGTTAGGGTCTCTCTTTTCAGAGTCTTCTGCTATGCTTTCAATTTTATTGGAACAAGAGAATGACAGAGCAAGGGAAAAGAGAAGAATTCAACAACATAGTTGGAATACTATGGAAAATATACATATATGTGCAACAACTTCCTTGATATGTTCAAGGCACGGCTCCTATCAGATTCAAAAGTACTATGTAGTGTTCAGTGTACTTATGTTTCTTAATAATTTCCATTTTAAATAATGAACCTATAAAGCCAGAACCATTGCTGGGAATCTCATGATTTACAGCCAGATCTTAGTGGCCAAAATGGTCATGGTCTCACTGACTACATTAATTGAATATTGTATCTGTGCTGATTTCTTATACTGCCTACTCAGAAGGGGAAGGGATGGTTGGACCTCTGATTGGATTCAGTATGTTGGACTGTCCTTAGCTTGATCAGGTTTTGTGCTACCACAATAAGCATCTCCCTGATCTGGTTGAATGTGCTGAAACTCATCTAAAATTTCTCTCTGTTCAATAAAAAAAAAAAAAAATTCAGATAGCAGAAGTGACTTTTGCCTTATCATAACTGCCCTTCAACAAGGGCATTTTTAGTTAGATTGCATCTTAAGAAGCTCTGCTGGGAATGTAAATCTTCTGTTCAAGAATTGTCTTCTTCATCAAATGATTAGACAGACTTACATAGTCTTTCAATCCACTTTGTAATATGGAGATAATAATCTAGACCAGCTTTCAGAATTATTGAAATGTATATTGCTTTTCATTAAAAAATTATCCTAGTGTGAAGAGTTACGGTGTGAAAAATCCAGAACACCATATACTGTTACAAAACAACAGCAACATCAAAATCATATAAAACTAAAGTTGCAAATACTTTGTAGGCAGCAGTAACAAAAGCAAACAGAAATCAGGCAAGCACGAACTTTTAAAAAATCACCTAGATAAAACCTTCAGCTGGTGCAGAAATGCACAGTACACAAAAAAGATCAAAATCTTCATAGACCAGGGAGGGAGGGAGGGTCTGTCTGTCTGTCTTTATTTATTTGTTTGTTTGTTTGTTTATTTTTGACATTTGTCACCACCCATCTCACTATATTTGGGACATCAGTGTTAAGAACATGCTTTCTCGAGTTGTGTTATAATATATTTAGGGCAAATAAGCATTATGAAGAAGGCATCCCGAGTAGATCTTAATGATTTGGGTACAGTATATGGAGAAGGTACAGTACATATAAAGCACTACAATCAGATCATACTGTATAGTGCTTTATTTGTTGTTGTTGTTCAGTTGTTAAGTTGTGTCCGACTCTTCGTGACCCCATGAACCATATT